AGAAAAACGGAGCTGGAGGAATCAGGCTCCCTGACTTCAGACTATACGAGAAAGCTACAGTGATCAAGACAGTATAGTACTGGCACAAAAACAGAAAGATAGATCAATGGAACAGGATAGAAAGCCCAGAGATAAACCCACACACATATGGTCACTTTATCTTTGATAAAGGAGGCAAGAATATACAGTGGAGAAAAGACAGCCTCTTCATTAAGTGGTGCTGGGAAAACTGGACAGCTACATGTAAAAGAATGAAATTAGAACACTCCCTAACACCATACACAAAAATAAACTCAAAATGGATTAAAGACCTAAATGTAAGCCCAGACACTATCAAACTCTTAGAGGAAAACGTAGGCAGAACACTTTATGACATAAATCACAGCAAGATCCTTTTTGACCCACCTCCTAGAGAAATGGAAATTAAAACAAAAATAAACCAATGGGACCTAATGAAACTTCAAAGCTTTCACACAGCAAAGGAAACCATAAACAAGACCAAAAGACAACCCTCAGAATGGGAGAAATTATTTGCAAATGAAGCAACTAACAAAGGATTAATCTCCAAAATTTCCAACCAGCTCATGCAACTCAACATCAAAAAAACAAACAATCCAATCCAAAAATGGGCAGAAGACCTAAATAGACATTTCTCCAAAGAGGACATACAGATTGCCAACAAACATGCGAAAGAATGCTCCACATCATTAATCATTATAGAAATTCAAATCAAAACTACAATGAGATATCATCTCACACCAGTCAGAATGGCCATGATCAAAAAATGTACAAACAATACATGCTGGAGAAGGTGTGGAGAAAAGGGAACCCTCTTGCACTGTTGGTGTGAATGTAAATTGATACAGCCACTGTGAGAGCAGTATGGAGGTTCCTTAAAAAACTAAAAATAGAACTATCATATGACCCAGCAATCCCACTACTGGGCATATACCCTAAGAAAACCATAATTCAAAAAGAGTCATGTGCCACAATGTTCATTGCAGCTCTATTTACAATAGCAAGGACATGGAAGCAACCTAAGTGTCCGTCGACAGATGAATGGATAAAGAAGATGTGGCACATATATACAATGGAATATTATGCAGCCATACAAAGAAACGAAATTGTGTTATTTGTAGTGAGGTGGATGGACCTAGAGTCAGTCATACAGAGTGAAGTAAGTCAGAAAGAGAAAAACATATACCGTATGCTAACACATATATATGGAATCAAAAAAAAAATGGTCATGAAGAACCTATGGGCAGGACAGAAATAATGACGCAGACCTACTAGAGAATGGACTTGAGGACATGGGGAGGGGGAAGGGTAAGCTGGGACAATGTGAGAGAGTGGCATGGACATGTATACACTATCCAGTGTAAATCCAATAGCTAGTGAGAAGCAGCCACATAGCACAGGGAGATCAGCCTGGTGCCTTGTCACCACCTACAGGGGTGGGATAGGTATGGTGGGAGGGAGGGAGACACAAGAGGGAATAGATATGGGAACATACGTGTATGTATAGCTGATTCACTTTGTTATAAAGCATAAACAAACACACCGTTGTAAAGAAATTATACTCCAATAAAGATGTTAAAAAAAAAGTCTGAAGGAAATCTGGAAAATAATAACTTTTGTTGAATCTAGATGTTAAGCTCATGGTTGCTTATCATCAAAACACCTCTCTGTCTTTATTTTTCTGCATTTCTGAAACATTTCATAATAAAAATAACAACAATCTTGTGCTCTACTCAAAATACGGTTTTAAAGAAAAACTGTATGATAGGAAACTCTGATAAGCAAGAATATTGAAAATATAAATGAACACCACAGCAATGCTAACCTCAATTTTATATAGATGCATATATATTTATGTGTGTGTGTGTGTGTATACACACACACACACACACACACACACACACACACACACACATATATATCCAATTAGAAAGGTGTCTTCACATTACCAGGACATAATTTTAATTGGTAGAGATAGCTAAGGACTGTCAAAAAGACTAAGTTAAGGATCAAAAATGAAGCTGTTCAGAGGAGAGTAATATAGCCTAGAGAAGGAAAGTAAGGGATAAGGACAGGAGACTCCTTTAAATTCTTTTTTTTTTTTTTTTTTTTTTTTGCAGTACGCGGGCCTCTCACCGCTGCGGCCTCTCCCGCCGCGTAGCACAGGCTCCGGACGCGCAGGCCCAGCGGCCATGGCTCACGGGCTCAGCCGCTCCGCGACACGTGGGATCCTCCCGGACCGGGGCACGAACCCGCGTCCCCTGCGTCGGCAGGCGGACTCCCAACCACTGCGCCACCGGGGAAGCCCTCCTTTAAATTCTTGAAGCTGATCTATTCTCTGAGGCATCACAGGACTGAACTAAGGTGGGATGGGAGTAAATCAAAGCAGATTTCAGCTCACTGCAATCCCTGAGAGCTAGTCAAGGCATATCACCAAAGTGAGAGTCGTATTGCTGGCTTCAGTGGTCCTGAATTATGCCTAACGTGTCAGAGGAACGATTCTTGGACTGGGTAGGAGATTGAACTAACTGACCTTAAATTTCCCTTCCAACCTTTCTTAACAGATACAGAATCGGGGTGGGGGTGTGTGAAATTTGGGTCTAAGAGAAAGGTGGTCGTATTTTCTGAGACTGTAGATACAACCAAAATTCCGACTGCAGGAGAAAATAGAGAGAATCAGCCATTTCTCTCCAGGAGGACTATAGCATCACCATGACCGTCAGACAGCCCATCAACAAACACTGAGCAGCTACCCTATACCAGGCATAGTCCTAGGAGCAGGCAAAGAAAAGAAGAAAATTTCAAAAGCACTGAGGTTCACGAATGCTTGTTTTCCATTTGCATCATGATTCACCGGCACAGTGTTCTCTTCAACATGCAAAAATCACTTCTGCCATCACATTTTGCCACATGGAGAATATTGCACCACCAAAGTCTAGCTCCCCTTCATGCCTACTAGATAAATGGAACTTAGCACAGGCAAAAATGCGAGGCCATGCAGGGGAAGCTGAAAGAGGAACGACCACAAGAACACAGACTGAGGCCTCAAGACGTGGCCTTTGAGTCTGTACTTGGAAGTAGCACAATGCACAGAGCAGAGGAGGCATCCGAGATGCAGGCTGGTTTCAGGAGCATGGTGACACTTGGCCACACTGCAGTCATTACACACAGGGCAGGAATTCCCTGTAGTAGGACTCTGTTAAAATGTATTACCTGAAGTAGCTTGCCCTCTAATATCTGAGCTCCGTCATCAAAACATTACCCAGTTATTCAAGACCGTAAGAGAGCCTACTTGAAAAAGAGATCAGACTTGTGGTTACCAGAGGCAGGGGAATCAGGTGGATTGGAGGAAGGTGGGAAAAAGGTACAAACTTACCTTTTTGGGTTTTTTGCCCTTTAGACCAATTTATTTTATATCCAGTTAAAATATCATTCAACAAAGGACAATGGAGTTATAAGATAAATAAGTCCTAGGGATGTAAAGTATAACATGACGACTATAGTTAACACTCCTGTATGATATATAGGAAAGTTGTTAAGAGAATAGATCCTAAGAGTTCTCATCAAAAGAAGAATTTTTTTCTTTTCTTTTTATTGACATAAGGATGTTATATGAGATGATAGGTGGATATCATTTAAACCTATTGGGGTGATCACAATATATGTAAATCAAACCATCACACTGTACACCTTAAACATGCACAGTGTTGTATGTCAGTTATTTCTCAATAAAACTGGGGAAAAAAAGCTGGCATATTTGAAAGGGAGATTGTGGGTGGT